AATCACCGATGTTATAATATTTTTAGTTTATATTATTATTTGTAACGTTGTTTCGATCTCAAATAATAATTACAAAAAATATTTTTTTATAGTTTATTCAAATGTTGGAAATACTTTTAATATCTTAAATCTTGGAAAAATTTATGAACTTGTATATAATGTATTTTTGTTAATAGAAATTAATGTAATATTATAATAAAATTTGAGCAAGTATTAAAAAAATGCTATGTATATTTTCACATAATTATTTTTATACAGGTGTGCAAAGTGGATCTGTTTGGATTAACCGCGGAAGAAAAGGAAATAGCCGGTATTGTCAAAAATGTGTCAGAGGCTAGGAGTACAAAGAGCTTTGATATTTTTCATATCTTGGCGGAATTTATAACAGAATCGTGCTTATTAGACTTAATCCTGCCATTAAAAGAAACGCTACTGAAGACGCACTCGCACAAAACGATACATAAGGTCGTGGAGTGCCTCCGAAATGTAACTTTGGGATTGGCAGACAATGCTTACATACCGTTGGAACAAATGCTCATATTTCTTTACGGTATTATCTCGGAAAGTATACCAGCTCTTGTACCAGAAAAGGACGATAAAAAGCTCGCGGAAGATGAGCGCGGATGTGAAACGAAGGCTCTAGTGCGGAAGCAGTCGAATTATTTCCTCATACCACCGGAACCCAAAAACAGAATGGGTATTAAAGTCACCGCGAAGACTACCAAGAATGCGAACGCTCATGTAATGACAGAATTCGGTCTGAGACTGTATCACATATTGCTGAAACGGGACAAGGTCTCCGGTGCGGAGTACAAGCGTTACTTGGAACCGTTTGCGTCAGTTCTAAGCGATTGTTTACAGTCGCAGCACGTTAAACTGTGCACCGCAGCATTACAATGCTTAAACTGGATGCTCAAGATGGATCTAGCCTCGATGCACACGTCGATATCGGACATCTGTAACGCCATGTTCGGCATCCTGCACAAATATGCTGCTGCGGGATTGAGCAAGGGCGACAACTTCGATCTCGTGATGGTTACATTCAAATGCATGTCCGTGGTCGTCCGCGATGTCAAGTACTTCAGCATCGATGCCGATCAGTTGAAAATACTCATATTACACGCGGAGCAGGATCTACACGACAGCGACAAGCACGCTACGGCGTTTACCTTACTCAAAGCTATAATACATCGAAAAATGGTTACCGCCGATATGTACACCGTCATGGAGAAGGTAGCGATGCTGAGTATTACCTCGGAGCTGGAGCACGTTAAATTGCAATCCCGTTCTCTATTTTACTCTTATCTTATGAATTATCCGCTTGGCAAGCATTTGGACAAACACATATATTTCTATCTCACTCAGTTAAGTTACGAAACGCAACCGGGTCGGTTGAGCGCGCTGGAAATGATCCACGCCATCGTCACGGGATTCCCATTGAAAGCGCTGATCAAAAGGATAGAAATCATATTTGTAATGACCGGTGCAAGACTAATAGATGACGACGATCCAACTTGCCGTAAACTTTGCGCAAAATGTATAAAAGAAATGCTTATGCGGATTTCCCATAACGAGCGGAACAAACTGTTTGACAAATGGTCTCTTCAGTGGCTGAGTGACTCGAAAATAAGGTACCGGACATTAGCGGCACAGTTGTGCGGCATATTTGTCACCGTCGAGAAAAATGATTTCAATTCGCGACTACCTCAAGTCTTGCCGTTGTTATTAAAACAGTTACGCAAAACCAAGTCCTCTGACAAAGATTCCGAATCGAAGGACGAAAGAACGAAAGATCATCATTTAATTCAAGTGTTGCAACTGCTGCTAAAAATAGCACACCATACATCTTTTCTCACGAATGAAAAGTACAAAGATTCAATTGATTCTTTTGCCGAGTGTGGCCAATATTTGTTGGCGCATCCACATTTGTGGGTTCGATTAGCAGCAGCGCAATTAATCGGCTTTATCTTTACTGCTTTTGACATTGACAGAGTCGTGGAACTTTTAAATAATCCAGAGAGCGACAGCGTACAGAAGGGTTACTTGTATTCGAAGCCTGTTGACACTTTAAAGACCTTAATTCAAGATTTAGTAGCTCAACTTTATCCGGACATGACATTCGAGCAATTAGCAGATCAGGTTGTGAAGAACCTAATCTTTATCGCAAAAATACTGAAGTCGGTCACAGGATCCGCTGCGAAAACTGACGAGCATGGAAGTAAAGCGGAAAATAGTAATTATGTATCTTTTCTTTGGCTTATTAGGAGACTGAGAAATGCTGTTTATATAGAAATAACGCAAGCTCCTAAGTCAACGTCAGTGAGAACTGCGATGTTCAAGTTCATTGCCGGTGTAGTAACTACAGTGCCTGTAGAGTATCTAAATATAGCGATACTCTGCAATATCATGTCTCCGTTGGTACGGGAGATGACCACGACAGAAGAAACATACGCCGAATTGCGTCGACTTGCCAAAGAAGTAGCTACCATGATTAAAAAGTCTATAGGAAATGACGAATATGTCAAATTACTAAATCGAGTACAACAAAAGTTGGACATTAAGAAAGCGGAAAAACGAAAGAAACGTGCGCAACAATTTGTAACTAATCCTGAGCTGGCGGCTAAACGTAAACTGGCCAAACAACAAAAGAAGAAGGGGGCTAAAAAGAGAAAACTGGACGCTATAAAGGGAAACAGAATAACAAAGAAATTTAAAAAGAAAGTAGAACTGGACGATTTGTAATTATACTTGTGATGTATATAGACAATATATTGTATAAGCTGTAATATATATATATATATATATATATAAAATATATTTAGATAAAAAATTTTATAATTTAAATACAGTTTTAGATATTGTGCATTTGTTTAAGGATTAACATCAATGTTAATCAATGACCAGTAATATACGAATGAATTGCACTATAAATAAGTCTTAATCAATGGCATTTTTGTGAAAAGGCAAATATTTGCTTATTATTAATCTTACAATTAGTTTAGTTTCTTTATTTTTTATTATCACTAGAACAATACATTGCGCGCGCCATTTATCATTATCCTTTTCTTCTTATATACATATATGTATGTATGTCATTTTAAAATTTTTATTAAATCTTACTTTCAACGATTATCATTCTCTAACAATCTTCTTCAATCTAACAATTTTATAAATCATTTTATATAGCAGTACATACTTATATATTTGCATGGTTAGGAAAACGCGTTACTTGTAACGCTGTTATCGTTACAGTTACTTAAATTTTCTTTGGTAACGACGTTACATTATTTTTTCTGTAACTGTAACGATAACGCTTTTTCTTAGTAACGGTGACGAATATAACAGTTGTTTTTATCGTTACTTTTCATATTTTATACTTAATAAATCTTTTATATACTTTATGAATCAATCTTCAAGTTTTGATACTGTACATGTTATAAAACTTATAATATAAAGCTTTAGACGCTAGTGCGCAAGTGTGCGATGTACAGGATACAGTGATAGCGATAATCTTAACCAAACAATTCTATAATCAAAATCCTATAATAATCCTTGTAGTTGCATTTTAAGAACAAATTTATTTCTTATTTAGTCTTAAAACTCTTATCTCGTTTTGGCATTAAAAGTAACGAAAAAAAGGAACGAATCGTTACTTTTTAAGTAATGGTAACGGTAACTATATAACTTTTTTAATTCTGTAACGAGTAACGGCAGAGAGAAACACCTGAGAGCAGTCACGCCGGCATTTTACTTGATACCGATTCGGGAGACTGTTTCGCGCGCTCTTACACCCATTTTTACTTTTGGAACTATTTCATTACGCATTTTCTAACTCTGTCGAATAAAATTTCCACTTGGTGTATGTCTGTGCTATGCATTCTGATATCTAATTTATAAAATTTACATTGTCTACATGAGAAAAGTTGATGTAAATATGCAGATAATTTATGTTAATGTAATTTTGAATTTCGCAGCACACTCCTGTAAAATAGGCGTAGCGTGGACGCGCACAAAGTGGAGACTTTGTCGGTAGTGTCAGAAGATGCATAGCAAAATAGTTCCAAAAGTAAAAATAGGCGTAAAGGCGCGCAAAACAGTCTCTTGAAACAGTATCAAGCTTTGACTATTATAGTCAAAGGTATCAAGTAAAACGCCGGCGTGGCTGCTCCACAGACTTCTATATAATACTAGACTGATAACTCCCTAAATTTCGCTTATATAAAATGACTGCGGAAAGCATGTACAAAGGTATCTCATTTTGCGCATGTGCGTATAGTGATATTTCTACCATGCGCGATATAGGTATATAACCACAGAATATACGTGAGATAACCTCATCTTTCAGACGTCACGTTGAATCGTATTCTGATATTAAAAAATCATTATGTCACTCAAATGTGCCATTTATATGTGTGACAGCACTATAAATAAAGATAAAGTTGCCTATTTTAGGTTAGTATATCGAGTGAAAGTATTTACACTGCGACACTTCGAGAATATAGTATTACAACATTGCGATATTTTATCATTTATAAGGGTACAATTTCGCAAACGTCGGTTAACTGTTAACCAGAGTTTAGTCCACTCCCTAGCTCTTTCTATATTGTTTATCTAAGAAGTGGCGGAGAACCGATTAACCTCCCGTTAGCAGTTAACCGACGTTTGTGAAACTGGCCCTAAGATGAACGTAACCTATATTGCGTCAAAGCGCATGCGCAGAATGAATGACCTTACATATAATCGCTTAATACATAGAAAGTCAGCCGCCTTGTACATAAGCAGTTAGCAGTCTAGTATTATATGTCTGTGGGCTGCTCTCAGTTTCTCTCTGGTAACGGTAACTAGTTAATTTTTAAAAGTAACTTTTCTATCCTTACATTTTTATTTTGGTTTATAAATGAATTTATCATTTACATGACGTATAATTTTTATAGCAAATTTCGAATTTTTAAATATATTTCTCTCCAATATAATCTGTAACTTAAATATAATTAATTATTTTAAAAATGAGACCATAAATTGAAAGTCTAATGAGAACATTTTGAATTGTATTTTTGCTTAACAAGTTTTGGTAGCAACATCGACGCGTTATATATTTGAGAAAAATACAGTTTTCTTCCAAATTACGGATATTAACAAAGTGTTTTTTTTTACGAAACAGTACCTGTCATAATCAGTATAAGTGCATTTGAGTGTTCTTTTAGATAGTTTTTTTAAACAGTTCAAATTATTTTAAATAGTTTTGAACGTTTATTATAATACACGTTTCCAACAAATAATGGTCTTTAGTAGTATCTACATCATACCCAAATAGCACAAGGACGTCCTGAAGACGTCCTCAGAATATCCAGGACGGGACGTCAGGACGTTTGGGGACGTCCCATTTTAGTCCCGGGACCTCCTGAGGACATTCTGTGGAACACCCGATGCGCGCGCGCCTCATTATATCCTCACGAGGTCCCGAAGACGTCCTTAGAAAGTTCTTCAGGAAGTCCACAGGACGTACTTCAGAACATTATAAGGACATTTTTGGGATAGCCATAGAATCCCGAGTAACAATTGAATCTAGTGGCTGTCTAGTAACGGCCTAGAAAAATTGTGTCGTATCTCGCCACTAAGCAG